GAGAATCGGCTGGGATGGGCTGCATCTCATTAACTACGTGTCCTGGGCTCAACAGACGACCTCGCACACATGCCCAATGACGGTCTGCGCACAAGTGAATAAGACCCAGACCAAAAGAGAAAGAGTCAGAATGACATTAGATGGATGGATAGCCTCCCAGGGACAAGCCAGGTAGGACCCGGGGACACCCAGGGACAGCAGACGCAGACAGACAGTAGCCCATTCCTTTTGGAGCCCTCCCCACCCGGAAAGCTTCTCTGGAGCTGGAAAAATCCCCCAGGCCCCCCTGCCCGCCTCGCCCGTGGCATGCCCACTCACACCTCAGGCAGAGGAAGCTGGCAGGCCCCACAGGAACCTTTCTGTGCGGGGGGAGTGGAGGCGGGCAGGCGGCAGGGACGAAGGGAGAGGAGTGGCGGGCGGGCAGGCAGCGGGCAGCGGCTACACAAAGGCCCCAGTGTCTGCCCTCCTGCCCCCGGGTACAGAAATAAATAATATGTACATATACCTTTATATATATACCAGCGGGCTGGGGGCGGGAGGCTGGGGGCCATATACTTCTCTAAGGGCCTGGGCATGGCAGAGGTCTGCTCCTGTGGGGGCTGGGGACTTAGAGACACATAAAGATAGTGACCATGACTGAGACACTCGGGCTGAGAGGGACACAGTGACAGAAGAAAGAGAAACTTACAAAGTGCGTGTGTGTGTGTGAGAGAGAGAGAGAGAGAGAGAGAGAGAGAGAGAGAGAGAGAGAGAGAGAGTCCCAGAGTTAGAAACTGGCAGAGAGTAGGCTGACTCAAGTGGAGACAGATCAGGAAAACAGAGAAATCAAACTTCACTGAGAAAAGACAAAAAGTTAGAGGTAGAGGGACAGCGACAGAATGATGACAAGGGTCATTCTAGAAAAGGGCAAAGCCACAGAGAAACTGTGGCGAGAGGCAGGGACAGAAAGAAACAGAAAGACCAGCAGACGCCCAGAGAGGCACACACACACAGAGAAGCAGACAGCCAGACAGACAGACACAGACAGACAGACAGGGCCGGACCAAGGCTGGGACTTGAGGAGGCTGGGGGGAGGGTCTGGGCACATCTCCAGTTTGGGGGCACTGCCCGTGGGCTCTGGTGCAGACCAGTCCGGGGCAGGCTGAGGGACAAGGGCGGAGGTGAGGGAGGTGGCCCTTGGGTTCCGGATCTTGGTGTTTACCTGGGGCAGGCACCGCAAACAGGCGCCCAGCCTGGCCCATGGCAGGAGAGGGTGGGATGGGCTGGGCCCCAGCTCTGGCACCAGTGGGCCCGACACGCCCACCTGTGGCCTGGGTGGTGAGTAACACGGTGACACCTGGGTAGATGGTGACACATAGGAGGACAGACACAGTGACACACAGAGACAGATATAGGCAGACCCAGAGTGTCAGAGACATAAACAGACTCAAAGAACCCAGTGACAAAGACACACTGTAACAGACACAGTGACAGGCACACAGAGTAACAGACAGCAGGACACAATGATGGGCAAACATATTCTTAGGCACAGAGACACCGCAACGAAATACAAACAGTGACAGAGGACACAGTGGCAGACACACAGAAGACAATGACAGAACAGTAACACGCATGCATATACAGTGTCACAAACACAGCAACACCTACAGAAACCCGGCGACAGACAGTGACACAGAGACATACCGGCGTGAGCGCACAAGTAACCAGAGACGCATCGCAGAGTGAACACCTAAGCCCGCAGACACCATGACACTTACACACCGACACGAGAATACATGTATGATACCCGGTGACATACTGACGCGGACACGCACACAGGCACTCTTAAACTGCCCAGACTGGTGGCTTCTGGAGTGCCACCCCCCATAGCAGGTTGTGGCTGGAGTGGGGGTGACTGTGAGAAGGCTGGGGACCCCAGGGCCCTGCCGTGCTGCTATTGACCCTCCCAGGCTCCAGAACGGCTCAGCCGTCAAGGGCGCTGACTTGGGCCAGACCGCCTGAGCTCAAGTCCTAGCTCCCAAACTCACTGCCATCTGGGTGGTCTAGGGCAAATCATTCACCTCTTCATGCCTCTGTGTCGCCTATAATAAAAAGGGGGGGGGGGCGGAGAGGATTCTGTCAGTCAATTCTGTAAGGTTTTCACACGTGGCAGGACATAGGCTAAGCCCTAGTAGCTATTATTTTCATCATCGTCATCATCATCATCATCTCCTGCCTTCTGATGCAGAAGGCCCTCTGCCCACCGAAGGGACCCAAACTGTGTTCAGGTCCATCTGTTCCCAGCCCAGGCTTCTGTATCCCCATGGCTAACCCTCCATCCCTGATTCCTGGCGTCCTCCTGTCTGTCCACGCGTCCCACGTCTGACCGTGGTACTTTTCCACACTGGACATCGGCCGGCTGTCCCTGGGGTGGGGGTCACACCTGCCCACGCCAGCCGAGACGGTGGCCACCAGACACCCTGACGGATGGCCCCACCCTCCCCCAGGACCCTACGACAACACCCGCCCCTCCGGCCACCTGAGGTCCCCACTGGGGCGGCCTGAGGCCCGAGCCTGGGGACAGGAAGCCCCAGGCCTGGCCGCCCTGAAAGCCTCTTTCAGCCTGGGCCTCCTCCCGCTGCCACCGACTCCTCCTGCGGAATAATATTTGGGCTGTTGGCCGGGGGGGTGGGGGCCAGATCCGGAGGCCGCCTGGGAGAAGCCAGAAACCGCAGGGCTTCCTGCCTTGGGCCGGCCGACTCCGGGAGAGACCCCCAGGCCCGAGGGAGGGGGGCGGGCGCCCGGGGAGACTGAGGGCCTTTCTCTCGGCCCCAGTTGTTTTTTCCAGGAACCAGGAGGAATTCCCCAGCCTGCCCAGGACAGCGAGGCTGGTGGGACGGCTGACAGGGAGCCAGCACGGCAGGGGGCGGGGGTGACACGCAGCCGGCAGGGCGGGCACAGTGACAGAAATAGAGGGCCCAGCCTGAGCGAGGTGGCAGGTAGAGGCGGAAACTCAGGGAGCTGGGAGAGGGAGAGCCGAGGAGGAGAGAGGCCAGAGATCCTAAGAAGGAGTGGGAGGAGATGGACCCCAAGAGAGGAAGCGTCGGGGCCCCCTAGAGAAAAAGGGACAGAGACAGAGGCTCAGAGGAAGAAGGAGAGAATGTGAGGGAGCAGGGCAGACCATAGGAGCGACAAATGTAAGGAATGAATGAACATGTTAAAAAAACCAAGGGACAGAGACGGATAAAAGCATGAAGACAGGGCTAGGGACGGAGTGACAGAGATGACGCTAAGAGACAAAGAGAAAGATGGACAGAGAAACGGGGAGTCATCGCACGTACACGCACACGCGCACGCACACGCACACGCACACGCACATGCACGCACAACGCACACGCACACGCACATGCACGCGCGGATAAACACAGCCTTTCACCTCCAATGACTAAACAGAATGAGTGAGTGATGGAGACCCAGCAACCAAGAAAGACAAATGCGAAACGAGGAAAAGACCATTTCGGACCCACCCACCTGCCCCAGCCTGGAGGGGTGAACTTGGCCCAGTCCCTTCCCATCTGGGCCTCGCTTTCCACTCCGCAAAATGAGGGGCAGGAAGGATACGATGGCGTTTCCAAGAGAGCCACGTCCTCCAAACATCTCAGCGACAGACATTGGACTCACAGCCTAGAAAGAGACATGGAGGAACAGAGACACCCAAGCCCCAAGCCCAGAGGCCCCCAACAGTCCAAGGAGGACCCAGTTCCTTCCCACACATCTGCCTACAAAAGTGACAGACACACGCCAGGACCAGTGGACCCTCCATACGACGGTGACAGGCACGCAGCAAAGACAGGCATCATACATGAACACAGGCAGACCTTCTTTCCAACGTGGACAGATGCTAACACAGAGATACACGGGAAACACTCAATGACAGGCACGCCCGCAACACCGACATAGTCACACTCAGACTCGCTGAGACAATGGGTGTGCAGACGAACTGACGTGGGGAGACACGCACTGAACAGCGTGAGACCCACCCAGAGGGGCTCAGGCATGTAAGAGAACCACATACACGCAAAGGCACACACACGAGTCTGACATCCTGAGGCGCCCACAATAAGCACACACTCAGAGTAGGTACAGACAAACCCACACGATCAAAGCATAGGGACAAAAGGGAGCACCCTCTGGGACCTCCGTGGGCATACTGATTTCCTGTGACCCAGAGGCACGTGGGTACGTGTACACGCACGCGCATGCACGCACGCACGCACGCACACACGACACAGTCTCCTTCAGGTAACACCTTGTTTGTCCCTCTCCTCCTCCCCAGCTTAACCAAAAACCGAGCAGCCCCTGGGCTCCCCGAGCCTCAGAGCTGGAGGTGTGTGTCTGGGGGCTGGGGGTGGGGAGCTGGCCTTGGTCACTGCACAGCCACCTCCCCCTGTTGCCCTGGCCCTACTGCTGCGGGGGCTGCTATCTGTGAGCAAACTGTCCTTGGGGTCAGGGACAGCAAAGAGCCAAAGGTCAGGTCAATGCCTCCCCTGGCCCCTCCCCCAGAGGCAGCCAGCTCTCGGGGACAGGAAGGAGAGGGGACAGGGGAAGGGAACAATTCGTGTGTTCGAGTTCCATAAGGCCCACCCATCAAGGAAGAGACATCCGTAAGAGGCAGAAATGATGCCTTTAATGTCCCAACACAGCTAGCACCCCACTTCCCAGGCGAGAACCAGACCTCGGCAGAAACTCCCCACGCCCCGACAGTGCTGTCCAGTTTCTCCTGGACCGGAGTGGGAAACGGGCTCCAGAGAAAACCCAAAATGTTCTCATCTCCATCCCTCACTCAACTCACACCGAAGAGACAACGTGGCCAGCACAGGGGCTGTGGCGGCTGTCATGGTGCTGTCACTGGTTATGCCAGCCGGCCAAGATGGCGGCCGTCATAGCACCCAATGGGCAAAAAAAGGATGTTACGCGGGATGGTGGCCAGCTCAGCACCTACTACGCCAAGATGTCCACCAAAAAGAAGTGATCACAGCACCCAAGAAGCCAAAGAAGATGCAATTGAAACGGTATCACCATCACACCCAAAGCGTCAGCCAAGACGATGTCCATCACGGTACCCAGGGGACCAGCCAGATGTCATCCCCGATGGCGGCCATCAGAGCACCCAAAGGATCAACCAATAGTATCAATCGACATGGTGGTCTTCGCAGTTCCCAGTGGGCCCACCGAGATGTCAACGGCAGTTACCACAGTACCCAATAGATCGACACGATGCCCACACAAGCGGCAGTCGCCGCAGTTAAGTAATAGACCAACCAAGACGTTAACTGGAGGGGACAAGCAAAGTGTCACCAGGAGAAGCAGGCCCCAAGAGCCTGACGGTGCCAACTCCAGCCGTGCCCCACCCGCCACGGTCCCACCCCCCTGCTAGGACGCGTTGAGCAGAGAGCGGGAATAGAGGCCCTGGTAGTAGACCCCAGGCTCCCCACCCTCTGCCCCGTAGCCCCCAAACCCCACGTCCAGTTTGGGAGGCGCTGGTGTCTGTTCCGACATCAGGTTGTTGATGGAAAAGGGGTGGTTGAAGTTGTAGGGGGCATCGAGCTTCAGCTCCCCCGGGAGCTCCAGGCCAGCGAAATAGGGTGTGGAGGAAGGGGGCGAGCCACAGTCTAGCGCCCCCACGTCTTCCCCACCCTGGGCCTCGGGCTCGGGGGGCGGAGGCTGGGGCTGGGGCGGAGAGGTGACGGTGGCCGCGGGGGTGGCGGTGGAGGCGGCAGACCCCGCACTGGTCCTGGTGGCGGAGCTCCCGCCGGCCCCTTTCTTCACCTTCTCCTCCAGCTTGAAGCGCTTCTGGCGGCGCAGGTAGCAGCCGTTCTCAAACATGTTCCCGGAGCTGGGGTGCAGGGCCCAGTAGGAGCCCTTGCCGGGCTTGTCCGGGGAGCGCGCCACCTTGACAAAGCAGTCGTTGAAGGACAGCGAGTGGCGAATGGAGTTCTGCCAGCGCTGCTGGTTCTCCCGGTAGTAGGGGAAGAGGTCCATGATCCACTGGTAGATCTCGCTCAGCGTCAGCATCTTGCCCGGCGCCTGCTGGATGGCCATGGTGATGAGCGAGATGTAGGAGTATGGGGGCTTGGCGTGCGCCAGGGACCGCCGGTACCCTTTGGGCATCTCCTTCCCATGCGCCAGCCCGGGGCCTGGGCCCCCATACCCTGAGCCGCTGCCTCCACCACCGCTGGCGCCCAGGCCTGGGAAGGTGGGGCCCAGGGGCGCTGTGGGGGCTGGGGGTGCCAGGGGTCCTGAGGGCAGTGGGGAGGCAGGGAGACCCCCGGGGGAGTAGGGAGAGCTCAGAGGGTTCAGGGTCATGTAGGAGTTGAGGGGGGCCATGGTAGGCACCGGCGTCACTGGAGCGTAAACCTGCATGGAGAGAAAGAGAGACGGGGAAGGGGTCAGTGGGTCCCCACTCACTGGCCAGCACGGGGTGGCTGGACCCTCTGTGTGTCCACCGGTCTGTCTTGCCTGCACTATGAGTCCCTTCCATCTTTACCCGCCTCTGTAGAGGGCCATCTTGAAGTCTTTCTCTCTTCCGCCTCCTCGTGTACCCCGCTCCCTGACCCCGTTCCCACCCCCTGTGCTCCCACACACTGGAGCTCATGCTTAAGTATAGCCCGGGACATCCTGGGGTGTCTCCAAAACCTTTTTAGGGTGTCCACGAGGTCAAAACTATTTTCATATGATGCCAAGATATGACTAGCCTTTTTCACTTTCTCTCTTGAGTGTACAGTGGAGATTTCCAGAGGCCGCATGATATGTGACAACTGAATGTAGAAGCATCTACAAGAATCCAGCTGTCTTCTACGGAACCGGAAGATTTGCAAAAAATGTGCCGGTGCCTCTCCTCTAACTAAATGTTGCGAAATAAAGTTATTTTAATAAAAATACATTATTACTAACAAATTATTGCTACTTTAAAACTAATTAACATATTTAATTTTTTTTCCGCAGTTTTTCTTTCTCATGTGGTAACTACTGAGAGACATAACCCACATCAAGGAAAACTTGGGAGCCTCAATCATTTTTAAGAGTGTAAAGAGGTCTCAACATCCCCCAAATTGAGAACTGCTGATTGAGACCTAATCTACGTGTGTACTCTCGCTCCATCGTTTAGGCTATAAAATGACAGTTTTCGATAGGTCAAAAATGTTTGCCAATCAGAAATCACGTGTTTCAACCTCATATCATCTATTTATTATAGATCATCAAATAGAAGACATCACTGTTCGTAAGCTGCAGTATTAAACATCGGTGAGAATGGAGAGAAACACTGTCAGTTATAATCCCTGACACCATCGGCTGTAAGAGCCATCGCACTTTCATAAATGTTCAAATGCAGAAAAAAATACGCGTCCATGAAATGCGGTGGACATCGCCGTGTCTCTAAGCAACCCTCCATAGACTCTTCCATCATTTCGACAGGGATTCATTGGCCACCTACTCTGCGCCAGGCACAGAGAGGTCCCTTTTCACCTCTACGACTGCACTATGGGGTGGGGTGGGGGGGCGCTATTATGATGGCCATTTTACGGCTGAGCAAGCTGAGTCCCAGAGAGTTGGGGTCACACAGCAAGGAAGGGGCAGAATTGGGATTCTGAATCCAGGCGGCCTGCTTCCAGAATGGTGTCCTGATCACGCTATAAAGACAGTGATCAGGACAGACTGAAACGCCTGCCCGTGTGGAGCTGACGTCCAGCAGGAAGTGAACAAGATTCAGAAAATAGGAAGCATGGTAGATGGTGATTTCTCTTTCTGTGTATTTACTCCTTTCATCCACTGTCTTCCATCCTCTCTCCTTCAGTCCTCCATCTGCCAGGCTACACTGCTCCCTGCCCGCACTGGGGTCTCATCGCACTGTGGGTGCTGCTCTAGCCCTGGCTGGAGCCGCCTTTGCTATGAGGCGGTGGGTCCCATCTCATCCCCTATCACTGTTGTCTGCAAATCTCGAGGTCCAGACAGAAAAGGAAATTGCCTGGGTTTCTCTGGAAGTCAGGGACAGGTGGCAACCAAGCCAGGTTTATGATCCAGTCCAGAAACTCTCTGCTCTTTCACGTATCTGTCCAGGTAGCAATTTCCTCCGAGGTGCCTGGGAATCTCCCTGTCGGCTCTGTGTATCTGTGCATCTCTCAGGACCCATGTTTATCTGTTCTCCTCTTGTCTTTCCCTTTCCCATTCTGCTTCTCCTCTCCACGCTCTCTCCCTTTGCCTCTCCCTGTCTCTCTCTACCCCATGCCTCTCCCCTTCAGTACACCTTTGTATCTATCTGCCTCCTTTCCTCAGTATCACCCTCTCCCCAAAAGTCTGACATCGAAATGGGAATCCCAGCCAGTCCCCTCCCCCATGCACCGGTCTCCTCCCTGGTTGGCTGGTTCTGCCCCCTCCCCAGATTAAGGGAAGATGGAGGGAGAAGGTGATGGATTTTGGGGGGGGGGGATCTACAGAGAATTCCTAAATCCCTCTGCAACCTCCCCCACCCCCACTTTTCCAACTCAGGCAGACTCTCTCGTATCACAGGAAGACGGACTGGGATCCCAGAGCCCCCCTTTTCTGGTTACCCACCCACCCGGAAGTCCTCCTTGAGGTCTGACCTCTAGCACTCCAGCTGCCCTAATCCACCCTAGGCTTTCCCACGCCCCGGGGCTGGGATGAACCCCCAGTGTCCGGGTCTGAGCCCTGAGCCGGATCTCCCTGCCAGGGCGGGGCTGAGATTGGGGGGAAAGCCCTCAGGGGACCTGCACCCCCATCCCAGGAGGCTGAAATTTCTCCTCTTTCATTTCCTTATTGTCTCCGGAGAAGGGTGTGACAGAGAGCAGAGGGAGGCCGTGTGAAGCCAGAAGCCTAGTTCTAGTTCTAGTCCCAGTCTCTGCCCAGGACCTCAAACACCCCCCAACACTCCAGGAGTTCAGGCTTTCCATCTGTAAAATGGGGGAGCAGTTGGACTAGCTGACCTGTGAGAACCGAAGGCCAGTGGGGACACCCCAGGATGATATCTTTCGATTTCCTTCCAGACAGGGAGCCAGCCTGGGGATGTCAACATCACCCGAGCAGTAGAACATGAAGGGCAAGAAGCAATTTGGGAGACCTCACGGTTCACAGTTGCTGAGTGAATGCAAATGTTTCTCGACCCATTGTTCTCACCCAGGGGAGGCGGTAGGTCAGCCAATGTCAAGGCTGGGGAGACCCTCAGGCAGTATTTCCACCTCCAGTCTCCCACATGTCGACTCTTTCAAAATATGCCCCCAAATGCTGGTCATCTCTAGGCTGTTCCTCAATGTATGAAACGATGTCCCCCGATCTTCAGACTGTGCCCCAAATAACTCCTCCATGCTAGACCCCCACAATTCACTTAAGATGTGTCCCTCCAAACACTGATTTGTAGTTGCTTCCCTTAAATCTCGTCCCTAGACTCTGAACTCTCCGGGGGTTCAGCTGGGATGCCCCCACCACCTGGAAACCTTCACTTCCAATCTGTTCTCTGCCTTCTGACACCTCCGGCCGCAGGTCTCCACTTCTCAGCTCTCCCAATCCCCTTCCTGGTCGGCCTGCCCCACCCCACGTGCACCTCACACCTCCAAAGCCCCAGGACTGGCCCCTCCTGGGCACCGTGCCAAGCCCCGAAGGCCTGGGGATCCAGGAGTCCCACCTTACAGTTTCACACCGAAGACCCACGGCTCTGGCACATGGGGGACCCTGTAACCCACAGATCTGTCCCCTTGGAAAACTCAGCCATTCCAGACTCCCCCCCCCCACACACACACACACATACCGGAAGCCCACAGTCCCCTTCCAGGTTAGGAATTTAAGTATCCAGATCCCCATAACCCTCCAGCTAGGACTCTGAGCCCCTCTCCACTTGACAATGTTGCTATGGAGAGAGCGAGCTAAGTAGTCCTTGCAGCAAGGGGAATGGGAGTTAGACTCAGGGAAGGACTTTCTGTCTGCTGAGGTGAGGGAATTAACCCGCTACCCTCACTCCAGGGTGGTCTCGTCAGAGATGGAGCTGGCGAGGACATTAGCAATTACTGGGGATTACTGGAAGGGGGGTAGGGAGGTGCGAAATCTGAAACCCTTCAGCCTCCAGCAAGGAGAATCCCTGCTGAGGGTCTCTAAGAACAATTAAACCGGTGAAGTTCAGTTGGAAGGGGTGAGGGTCAGGAGCAGGGATGGGGGTGGGGAATGATAATCGACCCCTTTTCTGCTGTCCGGCTCCCAATTCCGACCCCATCCGGACCCCCGCGTATCAGAACCCCAACTCTAATCCACCTGTCATTTCAGACTCCCAAAAAGTTGGATAAGAACCCCTAAGCACTAACCCCTATCTCTGACCTTATGTTAGATCGCACCCTGATCCTTATCCCGGAACCCCAATTCTGATTTCTATCGCATAACTCTCATCTCTAACACTATATTCTAACCTTGAGCTCCCACCTCAGACTTCCCTTAATGGTGACCTCCCTCTCTCACCCCTTAGCTCCCGTCTTTTCCCTCAGTTTTGAACCCACTTCCTAATCCCTCAGCTCTGTCCCCTATCCTGGAGGTCTGACTCCTAGCTCCGTTTTTTTCATTTTAATTCTTTAGATTTGGGGTCCCCAATTCCTAGCCCTCACGTTTAAGATAGGACCTGACGCTTGCCTAAGTTTTCCTGATTCCCATTTATCCCTCGCTCCGACTAGCCTGGGGAAACCGCGCTCCCATGCCGGTCGCCCGTCCCTGACTCCTACACCTGGTCTCGGTTGTCTCAATTTCTTCTACTCCTCAACTCTAGTTGGAGCCCCCATTTGAGCCCGCACCCCGGTCCTCGCCCCCCATTTAAGCCCACACCCTGATTCCTGCCCCCCCACTTCTCGCTCCGCCATCCCCGAGGACACACCTCGCCCGCCTCCGGGTAGTAGCTCCACTCCGCCAGGTCATGGGCCTCCATCTTCACCGAGCCCAGCATCCCCCGGGCCTGCGCCCCCACCTGCCCCGGCTCCGGCCCGGGGGGGAACCGAGCGCATGAAGGACCTTAGGTTGGCACCTGGCACGTAGTAAGCACTCAATGCAGGGTGCTAGGCTCTCATGTTGCCGTGAAAGCTCAGAGGTGGGACACCTAAGGAAGACTAGGAGATTCAACCGCCCCGGGCTCCCTTCCCGCCTCCCCCTAGGCGTCGTGCTCGGACTGGGGCGCCCCCTGCGGGACTGCGAGGAGAGAGACCTCAGGCGCCGGGGGCCGCAGCCCGGGGACGCGAGAGCTAGAGATGGCTGAAGAGTGAGGGAGCTAGTGGTGGGCGACGCTGTTGATATTAAGGGCAGAACCCTGAGGCCCTCTAACCAGGGTGTTTCGTCATCTCGACAGGAGAGAGGGAGAAGCCAGAGCCCGGCACGATCGCCGCGGAGGAAAGGGGCCTCGGAGTGCAGTGAACTCCGGAGGTCCAGATACGCCAGTGTAAGGACCGGTTAGAGACCCTCGAAACGACATTCCGTTGGACGGACTGTAATACTGAAGCTTCCGACAGTTGGGAGTGCTCCGAGCTGTGTAAATGGTCTGGACCAAAGGTGGAGGACATCCGGGCCTGTGCTCAAGACCCCACTAGGGCAACAGACCACCTCCAAGACCTAGAAGCTTCGCTACGCGTACTCTCCAGTCTCCCTAACACCAGCCGTCCAGGGACTGAGAACCACTGTGAACTCCATTTCCCAGAAGCCTCTGTCTCACTTCCCGTCCCGAGCCTCGGCCAAAGGACTACGCTTCCCAGAAGGCATCGCGCCCGGAGGCCGGAAACGAAGAGCTGCCCGGAGTAGTCTGGGGCAGGGCGGAAGGCCGCGGGCTGCGCGGGAGGCAGGGGCGGGGGGGGTTGGCCGGCTACGTGGACTCCATTTCCCGGCGACCATGCATGTGCGGCGCGTGCGCAGCGTCACGGCGGCGAGCGGAAGATGGCGGCGGCGGTGTTTGCGAAGAGGCGCTGCTGAGGGGGCGCGAGGGGGACGGAGGCCGGAGCCGCGGTGAGCGGGGCTGGCGTGGGGGCCCGGGGACCAAGGGAGGAAGAACCCTGAGGCGGCAGGGGCGCTGGCGGAGGGGTAGGGGCGCATTCGAGGAGAAAGGAGCAATGACGTTTGGGACCCCAGCTTCTTCCCCTCCTCTGGACCCTCCCGTGGCTCCCTGGTGCCCTCAGGGCAAAGTTCCAACGTGGCCCCCAAGGCGCGTCCGCCCCTCCGGCCTCAGCGCTGCCTCTGGTCATTCCTCCCTTCGAATAGCTGCACTGGCTTTCTAGTTCCTCAAACTGGCCATGCGCCTTCCGGCCTTAGGGTTTTTGCACACGCCGTCCCCTCTGCCCGCAGCATCCTTTCACCTTTTCTGCCCGGCTGACTCCCATTCATCTCTCGGGTCTCGGCCCCGACATCACTTCCTCTGCGAAGCCCTCCTTTCCTGCCATCCGTCCCTGAATCCGCCTATGAAACGCTCTCATAGGTCTCCGTTCCTATACTTCATGTCACGTGTAGTCTTATTTGTTATTGGACCTTTTGTTTGGTTGTTCGATCATGCCTGTCTCCGTGAGCTCCACGGGGGCAGGGACTAGGTGTGTGTTGTCACTGCTGTGTTCCCAGCACAGCGCCGGTCACACTGAAGATGCCCAGTTAATATTCGTTGAATGAATGGAAGATACTCCCGGAGCACGATCTGTGAGGGGAGTCGTCATGCCCCCAGGTGGGGGTGGGGCAATGGTACCCCATAAGGAGTACCCCGGAAGGGAAGGGGAAACTGATTGTTGATAAAAGCAAGACTGCGGACACCCCAAATGTTCTTTGATAGGAAGACTGGCAGAAAAAAAAACCGAATAACATCCACATGATAAAATACTGTGCGACTATTAAAAGGAAGGAGGAGTCTCTATACACTGAGAGAATGGGCTTCAGCATATATTAAGCGAAAAGAAATGGAAAGGAAGACGGTTTTTATCACATGCTCCCTTTTTATAAAAGAAAGGGAAGTATGTATATACGTTAAAAAATAAAAGCATAAAACAAAAGGTGGAAGAGGAAAGACACCGTAAAAAATGTCGGTGGATCTCAACATAACATCATGACAAAAAGGCTAGTCATGTAAAGGTTCATTACGTTCTGATGAGGGTCGCAGGATGCTGGTTGTTGGGAGGCGGTGTCCCTTGTCTTGCGTGAACAGACCTGCGGGGGAGAAGCAGTTGCTTTCAGAGAAGCAGTTTAGCACGATGGTGAGGAGGACAGATTCTGCAGCCATACTGCTAGGTCTTAAAAGCTGTAGGCCTTCTGTCAAGTTAACTTTCCCTCCCCAGCCTTCAAATGTCCTCATCTGTAAAATGCAGATTAAAAATAGTGCCTACCTCAGTTTGTGCTGTCAGGTTTAAATAAGTTACGACGTGTATTAGAAATGTTCCCAGCATGTATTAAGTGTTCAGTGAATATTAGCTGTTATTTTTCAAGCATTCTAGGGCCAGAGGGAAGAGATACTAAGCCTAGTGTTTGGGAAAGCTCTTTGGCGTTCACTCAACACATAATCATCGGGCACTTATTAGGTGCCAAGCACCGCTCCATACTGGAGAAATACAAAGTGAATACACATACAAATTTGCCCTCAGGGAGCTTACAGATAGGTAGTGTGTTGATGATGGTAAATGTGGCGAAAAATAAAGCAACGCAGATGGGGAGAGGAAATTCAAAATAGGGTGGTCAGGGATAACCTCACTGCCGAGATAGTTAAACCGATCTCAGAACAAAATGAGGAGGGAGGGA